GGTGTAGAGATTGGCTGTATCTTTAGTGGTTAGGAGCTTTTACAGGCGAATACTTCCTGGAAAAGTTTTTGTATGAGCCTCAGCACTGAAGATCCTGCCAAACTTGCTTGTGTTAGTTTATTCTCAGTACCATGCAAGGCAGCCTCCACAACACCAGCACCCAGAGGTCCTTCCGTGGGGAGACTAGCTCTATATTTTATGGTGTTCTGTACAGTATAACATGAAAATGTACAGTAACTTGCTCAGGAGTTAAGAAAATTTGATACTATAGTTGAACATTAAAGCTAGTGTGGGCCCATCAGAATGAAGGGCCCTGTGTGACCACACAGGTCGCATACACAGTCTGCTCTGACTGCAGGAGACAGGTGTAGTCAGAGGATCTGGGGTAGGGCTGCTTCTCGTGCTCCTGTTGGGAGGAGGGTGGACTTGGGATTGTCTTCTCATGGTCCCTTGCTGTGTTTAAGAAATCTTCCTTTTCATGGTTGCTAACTGCAATCCTGTCTTCTACATCTGAGATTCTGTCTTCACATTGGCTCATTCTGCTGCGTATACTTTCAATGGAATTTTTAATCTCCTGGATCTGTGTTTGAATCTGTTTCATGGATTCCATTTCTTTCCTATGTTCAGCATTCAGGATTTCCATCACTTTCCTAAGATTTGCTATTTTTAAAAAAATTCTATATCTGCTTAAGAGTCAGTAAGCATGTCTTTCATTATGGTCACCATCTCTTAGTTATCTGGACAATTATTTCTGATTTGATTTTTTTCTAGAGCCTCCTTCATTTGCTTGTTATGCTGTTATCACTTCAGAGTATCCAGTTGGATGGCTTTTGGATTGTTCTACTGGGCATGTCTTCTGAGTGTGGCTTCTCATTTGCCTGATCCCTGAGGTCCCTTCCTCTATGGGAACCTAAACTCTTTCTAATAAGGATTTAGGATTTATCAGCCTCCACCCCTAGTTAATTCTATGAGATAACTGATCCCAAAGTCTAATCAAGATATTGCCCAATCAAGAGATTGTTGAGAACGGTGGTTCTAAGCAGACCTAGTCTGGCTTTGATGAAGTTTTTATCTCTCTTATACAAAAAGACAAAAGGTTATAACAAGAATGAGGTAATTTTGGAATGTGTCTACAAAGCCACAGTTCTCCAATATAATGGATACTATTTTAACCTAAGATTCTTAAGGTTTTGTTATTAAATATCCTCTCTGTCATAAAGAGGTAGTAGTAGTATATGGAAATTGATTTAGAATCATCATCACCAGTTAAATAAAAGTTGGATGCTGGAATCTAAAGTATGACTCCCAATATTTTGGAAAAATGTACGCTGGTTCATGAAATTCAAGTCTGGGAATCCAAGGCCAGGAGATGAAGAAGAGAAAAGGGGCATGACAGAAAGAGTTCAGGGGTGGGAAACATCCATCAGGCTCACGTGGTCACCGGTTCCAAAGTCTTCAGTGTCTTTTTTCCCTGTTGGGACTCCTGCACCTAGCTTACTTGTTAGAGGACTTGGCCAGATGATTACTGAGCTCCTTTAAACTTCATCTTTCTCCAGTAACTCTGAGTGCATAGCTGACTGCTAGAAAATAGTGAGGATTTGGATTACAGAGTCAATGTGTCCCATTTATTCATGGAGAAACACAGAGGAGAAGCTTAAGGGAATCTGAAAACAGAACAACCACGAAAGCAGCCCAACAGCTGTTTGATGGATGGTGAGACCATCCCTTCATAAAATGTACTATGGTATGTCTTAATGGCTGGGACACCAACAGGAAAGTTCTATCTTAAGAACCATTGGCTTAGTCACATTGTGCTCGCCAAAAAGATAGTGAACATCTGCTATTGAAAACAATCCTCTATAATTCTTTCCTTTATATTTTATCCTGTAAGAAATTCCTTAGGATACATTTTGCTTTGTCCATTAAGCTCACAGTACCATTTTGGAAAAGAAGTTTTCAGACTACTTCCTTAATGCATTAGCAATATGATAAAATGATTGCCAATTTAGCATAGTGTCAGTTCCTGGTTTGCACTGAGAACATAGTAAGTATTTGGTAGGTAAATTTTAATAAAACATATATATACTTGTACTGTTATCTTGTCCTATTATAAACATATCTAGCAACTGCTCTCTCTCTCTTTTTTTTGTTTTAAGAAAAGCTAAATATACTGATGAGGGTGCTCTTGGTATGGCTACTGTACAATCTACTCTGTGTTTCTGGAATTGTCAAAACAAACTTAACTGCTCTCAGGAACTCTGATCCAATATCACTGTCAAAATGTTTTACAACAATTTGGCCAAATGTTTGTGGGACAGCTGTGCTACTAGTCTGTCTGAGTCATTTTCCTTCTTTCCTTTTGGCCCAATCTTGTGATTCATCATTCTGCTTTTAGAATATTTACCTATTTTTAAAACCAGTCAAAGAAGGCAGTCACTGTTTGAAAGTAAACACTCCACACATCAACTTGGTGCAGCTTTGTAAGCAGCTTCGCAAGCCCTGAAATTTCTGGCAGGCAGCGATGCCAGCTAAACCAGATGGCAGTAAGCAGTGAAATGCAGGGCTGGCTCCAGGCTTGGTAGTCTCCTTACATCTGTCTTTGCTTTTCTTGTTTCCACTACCATTTCCTGCTTGGGTTCATCCAGCTGGATCTGTTCTTTAACAAAAGTCTTACTCTCAGTTTGCTTATCTTTAAAACATCTACCATGTGTTTATTTTCATATCAATTAGATTTTTATTTCAATTCGAGAGATCCCGTCTTAAATTTTCACTTGTATAATCATTGTGGTCACATAATATTCCTTGGCATAGTGTGACTATAAATAATGAATAGATTTCTGTCCTGAGCCTCATTCATCCTGGGTCATACCAGATATTTGTTGTTTATGCTTTCATAGGAAATCAAATGGATAAATCCCTGTCCCCTTTCTATAATTATGCAGGAAGGAGTATGACCTCACAGAGCACAAGATAGATTAAGTCTCAGGAAGCACTGAGCTCCGTTCCTGGGTATCTTCTAGAACTCTGGAACGCCTTGTATGCACTTATACTTAACAGAGTAGTCTCTCCTTCCAGGAAGTGCCTGCTTGCCTATGATCATTAGAGGCGGGATGCCAGCATATAATATGTTCCCCTTTACCTGTGCCAAATCTTCCTGGCCTTGAGCCCAAGGAGCTAAACTTATCATGATGTCTAGGTTCTTTGAAATTGTACTGAAGTAAATTAAGTGTACCGCAGACCAAAATCCAATTTTATAAAGCATGAATTTTATAATAAAGGCTACCCCTATAATGGGTCAGAAGCTACAAGTGATTCTTTCTGCTTTTGTCCAGTTCTTTGCAAAGAACAGAGTCAATTTAAAAGGCCACAGTGATTGACTAGAATTTGTCACTTTTGATCTGAGGAGGAAGAGCACATTCAAAGGGCCTGGGGATTGAGCCTTCTGTGACACAAATGTTGAGAAGCATCAGGAATCAGTGCGCATCCACTGACTGGCACAGATACAAGTACAAAATGGATTCAAATTGTCCTTGTTTTAACCACTTTTACATGGGCGTGTTATTAAACTACTTTGACTAAAATATGCCAAATGCTATTAAATGACAAGGCCCTTAAGGTGTTTGACAGAGGTTAATGCTGCCCTTGTTGAAATGATCTTTCTGTTGGTAGCTTCCTGTTTTCAAAGAGATATAATCCCTAAGAGCCAGGAGTGCCTGTGCACTCCATCTTATTTTGTCCTATTAGTGAGGAGGAAGGAAATGTGGTTGCCTCTCCAGAGTTGTAAGATCTGCACATGCAAATTCAATTAATTGAGGATTGCGAACACTTGGAGAAAACCTTGTGTCTGAACTGAAAATGTACACAATGTTTTTCCTGTCATTATTTCTTAAGCAGTACAATCCAACAATTACTTATCTAGAAATTACATTGTATTAGGTATCAGGAGTAATCCAGACATTATTTTAAGTGTATGGAGGGATGAGCTCTAGTGATATGCAAATACTTCTCTATTTTATATAAGGGACCCGAGCATTCTTGCATTTTGGGATTTTGGGGGTTCCTGCAACCACTCCCCCAAGGACATGAAGGCATGCCTGTTCTTGTTTCTTCATTGGATAGGGCGTGTATCACTTCCTTTAGTTCAAAAAGAACTCTAGTCAGTTGATAAGTATAAATATGATTATGCTAATGAGAGTAGAGAAACCACTATCTTTCCTTGCTTTATTAGAATTTACAAATGGCTTTGCTTTTTTTTTTTTTAGTGGGCTTTGGTCTTAGACTTATTCTTTGAGTGTGTTCTTCGTTGTGTTCTCGGAGTCAGGTACTTTGGTAAATGAATTGCCCTGCAGAGCCTGAGTTGGCCTAGAGGGATGGACACTCTGGTCACTAGGGCTGTTCCGAGCACGAGAGCTGTGTTGCCAGTCTATTCCTTGAGAGGTCTGGATTGCTGCCTGTTCCCCACTGTGACCCAGAAAGGGTTCCTAGTGAACTGCCTATTAGTGGCAATTTGTGGTGAGAGCTGAGGATGAAATCATCAAAGCCTGTGATGCTTGTAGTCATTCAGAGAAGAATTAATGCTTCTATTTTTCACTGACATGTTCTTTTGAACTATGGAGGTTGTTCTGGCCACCTCATTAGCACCTTGTTAGAGCACTTTCCTACAGATCATATTTTTTCATTTTGGCTAATGCAACCGTATGGAAAGACAAGCAGCCCTTCTTAATTGGAGAGCTACCAGACTGGACACTTGAGAATTCCAGTTTTTGGTTTCTTTTTGAAAAATTCTGGTCAGGCCTGCTAAGCTCTTCACACTTCTGGATATACAGCTAATGAACAAGGTTGTCTTTTACATGCCATCTGCTCCCGGCTGAAATAATGAAAATAGCAAAAACCTATATGCACAGGTAGTTTCACTATGCGGGTAGAAAGCTGGTCTAGCAGGGTGACTTTCAAGAGACAAAGGTCTGTCTAATGAACCATCATTTTTTTTCACATTTTAGATGATACACCTCCTGAAGACTCCATTCCTTTGGCCTTTCCAGAATTAGACCAGCAACTACAGGTAAGAATTTTCCTCAAGTCTTTCTGCTTTTCCCTTCAGTGTCTCACTGTATAGTTCTTTTGTTTGTTTGTTTGTTTTTTCTGATACAGGGAATCAAACTCATGACCTCCTGCTTGCCAGGCAGGCACTGTGCCACTGAGCTAAATCCCCAGTCCTCCTCACAGTACAGTTCTCAGGAAGTGGTCTAACAACACAGGAACTTCCAGATCATCAATACCTGGTGTTTCTAGAGCTTCAGAGTCAGCCTAAAGCCATCCTGGAAGAACCCTGGTTGTCTAACTATGACACCAGTACATCAAACACTGAGTGTCAGCCGGCTCTAAACCAGGCATTCAGGAACTGGGAAAGGGTGGTCCTTGTCCTCATTTGCAGTTGATATCTGTGGGCCATTGGAATTTTGGCTCTGTTTTGGGTTAATGATTTAATGATAAAAATTCTGCAGAGAAAATTTGTTCCATCTGTCAAGACTGGAATAATTTTCCTTTCTTACTACCTGTCTTTCCCTAGTTCTTTGACCCCTTTGAATGGAATTATTTGGAGTTAACTGTTGTGTGTTTTTTTCTCACACAGTAATGGAATGATTATTGATGTTTTTACTTGTACACGCTTGCAGTACATAATGATTACATTCATCACGGGGAGCTGGTATATGTACGTGACATGTCTTATTTGTTTTTTACTTCCCCATTCCATCCCCTGTCATTCCCGATCTCCATCTCTTGGTCTTTTCTCATTCACAAAAGATCTATCTCCCGGATTCTGATTATCCATCTTTACTTTGCTCTTTAAGTTGTTAATAACTTGGGTTTCTCATATAGGAAAAATCATGCACTATGTAAGCTTGTGTGTCTGGATTATGTTTTCTAACATTATGTTTTCTAGGTGCACCCGTTTTCCTACTAAAGACTCACGTTGATCTGTCTTTAGAAAGAAATCTGTTATTTTGACCCACGAGAAAAATATTTTGTTTACAAGGATTCTGGATGATCTCCCAAAAGATAACCTATCTGAACACACCATAGTTTTTTTATTTCTCTCTAATTTTTCTCTCTAATTTTTATTTCTCTCTAACTTATGACCTTTTAACTTTCTTTTGGTGACATACCGTGATCCCAAGCAAAGATGGCTCTAGAAAGAGGTTCTGTCTAAATTACCAGGACATTGGCCTTGGGTCACACATTTACCGGAATACTTAATTTTTTTGTCACATTTAGAGAAGTCTAATAGAACTCTTGAATTCTATACATAGATGTTGTACTAGGTCACTATTTTCCCTCTTAAATACTGATCTCAAAAGCCCTTAGGAAGAATCTGCAATTTTTAGTTTCCAGCAGGTGTTGATATATACTGTATACAGTTTGAGTATGCCTTACCCAAAATACTTAGGACAAGAAGAGTTTGGGATTTTTATGGATTTTTTTTATTTTTATGGATTTTGAACATTTGCATATATAATGAAATATCTTGGTTATGATTTTTTTGGTGATGATTTTTAAACATAAAATTCATTCATGTTTCACATGTACCTTATGCACATAGCATAAAGGTATTTATTTAATTGTTTTGGAGTGTTGAGGATTGGTTCAATCTTTGTACTGAGCTATATCTTCAGATTTTTAAAATTTTTTATTTTGAGACATAGTCTCACTAAGTCGCTAAGTTGCTCAGGCTAAATTTGAACTTACGATCCCCTTGCCTCTGTCTCCCATAGTGCTGGGCTTATCGATATGCCCCACCATGGCTGGCTTTCAAAGGGATTATATACAATATTTTTAGTGTACCTATATTTTGACTACAATGCATCACAGAGGTCAGAAGTAGAATTTTCTACTTGTAGTATTACACTAACACCCATTGAGGTTTGGATTCTGGAACATTTGGAGTTTCATATTGGGAAGGCTCAAACTTTATCCTATACCCAGTAGCTTTTCCTAATTGGGGTCTGCTTGTTGTCCTAGTTATTGAGTTTGGGACCCCTGTTCCTGGGTAGCTCTTGAGGAAGAACCAAGAATGACCTCTCCTCGTGCAAGCCAAGATGGTGCTCCTTTTAGTTCATCTTAGTTCTTATCTCAGGCTGGGTCTACTGAGTTCAGAGCCTACAGGCAACTAGGTCAGGTTGGAAGGGCTGGTTCCCATTTCCGGGTGGCCTGTAAAAACCAACACAGAGCACCTGGGTGTGAGCTGGACTCTTGGAGGAGCCCTTATTTCACCTCTGCAGCGGCTCTGGGCACTGCCACAGCCCTTCACAGCAAGGCTGCTCCACAGAGCACTATCGATTGTGTAGGTATCACTGAAGGTGGTATCGGGTGTGGGAAGGTTATAGTGATTACCGCACAGCTGTCCATAGACAGCTTTGTAGTCCCCTAAAATTTCCTTCGCTATTATTAGCCACCCGATCTTCCATCCCCCTTGCAGAGTCTTTGACCCAAGTCTCCCAGTTCCTGAATCTAACCTGGAATCTTTTCAGCATGGAGAGGGACACAGCCCAGCCCGTTGTTCCTCCTGGAAGTCTTGCTCTGTGCATGGCGTTTCCGGCTTAGGTTCTCTCGTCACAGAGGGGCTGTCTGTGTGCTGCTGGTGGTGTAAAATACTAACCATTGTCCTTCCCAGTCCCTGCTTTGTCTCCTTTATTGTGTTGGCACTCAAAGGTGTTTTATTATCATGAAAATCAGATGTAAGTGAGGAGGAGTAGGTATGTTTTGGAAATAAAGCAGAAAGCATATTCATGTTCTTGTTCCCTCATCAAATTATGGATCATGAATTCTCCTTTTTTTGTATTGGAAAAAAAACCCCACTTTTTCCATTGGGAACTTTAATGGTTTTCCCTGCCTTGTGGATCATCTGCACAGGATTCACAGCACCCTGGACAGTTATCCAGACGATTTTTCTGTTGAAGCATCTCTGGGTCCATTTGAATTTTATAGCTTTAATTTTATTTGATGTATATTGGAAATTAAACCTATTTAATTATTTTACTCCAGAGAAACTATTTCATCTTCATTGATCTTTAATGAGGCAGACAGTTCAGAGGGGAGTTTCTAACTCGGGGGTTTTGATTATCTCCCAGCCCCCTTCAAATATGGTATTGCTTCACCTCTCTCTGAGCAGAGAGAGCATTACCTGCCCCTCAGCTAAACATATTTAAGTAAATCCTTGTTTACTGAGTGAAGAATGAGTGTGTTATGAGGTTGAGTGTGTCATGAGGATTCATAAGCTATCAAGACAGTGGATTAGGCTTGCTTCTGTCTAGAGCTTTTGCCTGTAACCTTTATTCTACACTCCGGGGCATGAATGACTAAAAACAGCAAGACAGTATGGACTGGGAGGGGAAAGCTAACATAGAAAATGATATCCAAAAAAGCAAATTCTTATTTCCATCCTTAGCATAAAGCACATGTACTGAAGCCATTCGGCAGCTGGGAGTCTGTATTAAAAGCAATGAAAATGCTTTATATACAAAAGCAATAATCCATTACATGGAGCAGACCATCTTTATAGTCAATCTCATGTGCTTCCATCTCATAATAATGGCTCCTGGAGTCTTTTACTGACTATCATAATCCACTATGGAAGGATAAGTTTGGGTTGCAAAGATATATGAAATGCCTTACGGGTAGCCGCATTTGTTTGAGGACGAACTGACTCCTGATTACCTCCCTTGAAGCCTTTTGACTTGCTGAGGGGAAAAAAAATGATGCCAAATTTTTATTGTCAGGTTGGCTCTATGCAAACCTTCAGACTAGACAAGGGCTGTTTTCCTAGGTAGGATCTCATTTGATGCTTGCAATACTTATATAAGCTCATTATTACTTTTGCCCTTTACAGAAGAGAAATTTGAGCTTAAATTTGGGTCTAAATAAATTTGGTGCTCCCCTGCTTTCCTTCACACTGTTTTGCACACAGAATGGGCTGCCTAAATTAATTTGATAGGTGGAAATGTTTTTGTGTTTGGTTTTCACGTTGCCATGGTATAGTTCTAGAACAACCTTGTAAAATTTGTTCTGACTTTCTGGTATCCATTGCACATGCTTTGGTAATTTATAAAGTGCGGCTATAAAATATTTGGTAGATACTCTATCACCAGTTTGACCCCCAAGATTTTTCTGTTGTTTTGCCAAGAATGTGGACATGTTTGAGCATGTAATTCATGGTGCTTCTATTTTCATAAAAGCCAAAAAAAGCCTCATGTAAGAATAGCAGTGACAAACATTTCTCTTGATGTCTCTATTCATGAAAATTGTTGGACAAGAGGCCTTAGGGAAAGATAGGTGTTAAAATGAACATCTCTTTATAATGTTCATGAGGGCCATGGGCTTCCTCCTAAGGGCAGGTGGAAGGTTAAGTTTATTTTGTGCAGATTTCTTTCTTGGGAGTAGCTTTCTAAATTCCTGATGCCCATCAGGGGCAGTGTTTGAGTATAGCTTGTTTTGATCTTTCAGTTAGAAAAAAGGAGGCCCAGTTCTAAGTCCCCTTCAAGAATAAGTGGAAAACTATTACTTTTCTTTATCTTAGCTTCCTTCTATTTGGAAAAGAAGGAATTAAAAATGGTTCTGAAGGATGGTGGGATCCTTTAATAGTTCCAGAGTTTTGGTCAAGACCAAGCCTGTCATATGGCTTGAGACCATTGTATTTTTTGGGAATTGTGGCTCAATCTATATATGAGCTCCGAGCTATGTTATCTTAATTATATTGGAATGATAAATAGGGCTAAAGACATGATATTAAGTAAATTATAATAAACAACCTAATTGGAATTATAGTGACTGGAGCATGGGAATTGGCATAGACTGACATGCATTTGAATTTCAGCTCCACATTATTTTTGTCACTTATGGTATATTATTTATTCTCTTTAAATCTCATATTTCTCAACTGTGAAGTAGAAATAACAATATCTGTCTTACATTATTTTGGGAACCACATATGGTAATGAGTAGACCAAGCATAATTTTTGGCAAAATAACTGACCAATTAATACAAGTTTCCTTCTCTGGTACAAG